AAATTCTTTCAACATTAGAAATCTTAACTGATTTTTGGTAGACATTTTAAATCGGAAATAATTTATTTTATCGATATCTTAAATAACTCGTTAAATATATAATAATATCTTTCTCATTTTCTCTCTCTCTATTTCTATAATAACGCCTCAAATCAGCTGAAATCTGGCAACAATGTATCTCAAAGGGGCTACAATTAGCCGCTCCTGTCTAAAGAGCGGCATGGTATGCGTTTGTCTGATGGCTTTTGGCAGTGATGCCCAATAATAGGGTGTTTTCACTTTTTTTAAATGTTGATGTCTAGAAAGTAGTTCTCAAAAAAGTCTCCATAATAATTTTAAAGCGAATTTCAATTCAAATCAGATATTTTCCGCCAAAAACGCCGAATCCGTATCGTCGGTTGCCTCTCCCGATTGTGACGTAGCAGGTCATATCAACAAAGTGTGTTTATTTTGTTGTTTTCGCAGCTTTCTTTTATTATTTAAGTTATTATGATTATCATTATATTATTGATTCTTTTATAACTCATCGATTAATGAGTTATAAGTCAGGTATAAAGCAGATTAAAGCTTTACGAGACCCCAGACCGGAATTTTGACGTTTAAGAGAAGGTGCTCAACATTTTTTATGAGTAACGTTTTACTACTATGTCCAAACAACTAGAGAAAAGGACATCTAGATTTTCTGTGCAACAGAACTTAGTCCAAAAAGTCGACGAGTTTTCTAGTAAAAGCAAACTATTAATTTGTATAAGAGCTTTATAAGCTCCTTAAGACAGCCTTTGACATCACTGGCCATGACCTGGTGCTCAAACTATCATACTGTCAGTTTCAAATTGCAAAACTTCCAATAAAACTACGCTCATAATGGGAGAATAATAAAATAAAAACAGCTGGTTAAAAGAAAATCGCCAAATTCTTGTCACGCTCCTAAAATTGCTTAGCATCTTCTGGATTGCCCCCTGTAACACGCAAACGCTCCCGCCCTCTGTTGGCCATCTGTTAAACTGTTTACGGCACAGCCAGTGAAACAGAGCGCTGGTTTAAGGCCTGAGGAGTCTGCGGCCGGCTAGAGGCCGCCAGTAGCTTTAGATCACGCTCCATTGCAGGCTATTGAAAAACTGTTTATAATCGGGAATTGCCCATTGCGAATGAAATTGAAAAACACATTCTGCTCTTTTAGCGCTCGCCTGAAAACGGTTGGCGATACTACCAACCGAAACGTTGTGCTAAAACCACTTGTCTTTGTTGCGTCAATTCGGTTACGTCTGAAGATGTCCGTTTTTTCTGGCGCGAAACGTGCAGAAGCAAGCGCTTTTTTTGCAGCTGCGTCTATTTGGGTATTTGAACATTTTTTAAAAAAAGTTTGAGAAAGAGCCCTTGAAGTTTTTCATCCGAATGTTCAAGCTTGGCATCAAAATGTTTTGAGTGAACAACAAGTATCGATATTGGAGTAGAAATTTCGTGTTGAATCGAGCAATAGCAAGTTTCCATGAGATGAAGCTTCCAGAGGCAAAATTCCATGTTTTCCTAGCCGTGAAAGTCGAATATTGGTGAAAAGTATTGAAAAGTGGAAACCATTGGCGATGGACGGTGGGCTTCAGAAAACGCTTCTGAGTCACGCCCCAAGCTTTCGGCTTCGGACAATTTCTTTCCTTGCCCAGAGAAACTCCTGAGCAGGCGAACAAATTGTCCGCAACCCTGGTATGTGACTCAGAAGCCTGTTCTGAAGACCATCACCGATCAAAATTTTTCCAAACTAACCCATGGGGATTGATGGGTTTGGGTGAAATTGACTTATAAGCCCGAAGGGACCGGAATGCTGTGACCGATGGGTCCGACATGAGAGTGTTGCCCGAGCTACAACAACCCCTAGGGGATCTTTATGGTTTACCTTTATGTTGACAGGTTTTTCACGCCCACCCCGTATAATTTATTAGGCAATTTTGGCCGGCTGTCTGGGTGCCAATTAGACAATCCGCAGGTACCCACCCCCTACCGATTGGCAACCGCGGACGGTCCTTCGAACTGTCTCCTCCATCCTCCTCAGACTGTAAAGAATGAATCGCATTCTTCCACTAAATGATAAATCCCTAAATCAAAAGTCAATGTTTATCGGCAAATGAGCGGTCGAATTCACCTGTCCGCTTTTGGGCAACGTTTTCCGACCGTGTCGGACCGACAACCGTAAGTTGACAACATTAAAATAGAAATATCGGTGGAATTATCGAAAACAAGTCGTACAAGGGGTAATAGACGCTATCTGATCCTGCCAAGCTCGGATTGGTTCAATTAATTTGGAACCAATTTAATGAAGCCGAGCCCTGTTGTCAAACTGGGCTTTGCGCGTAAGTGGACTGTGGAAAAATTCGAGTTTTCCCGAAAAAACTGTCAATTGTGGCAACATTGCGGGTGCGGATGGGCCTATCGGGACCCATTAGTACTCGTCACGGTACGAAACTGATGGCAGAATTAATTAAATCAACCCTTTGACGTGGATGCACGCCCATGGAATGCCCATCTTGATGGGCCGATGGCGCCAGCGCCCAGAATTCCTCGCATTCCCTGCCTGGCACCGGTTTCTAAACCTCACTTTTTCATATCGGCACTGTGCTCACATCGTTCGCCTTTTTTTTTCGGTTGGGGTTTTGCGAAATTTTCGTTCGATTCGACAGAAATTGCGTTTGGAAAGCGGGCAAAAACGAAACCAATCGATTATGCACTCGTCTCGATACCGATATTAAGGCCGGAGTGGCCGAACGAAAGAAGAAAAAAACGCGAAACAGAGACACCAGCAGGGCGATTTGCGGCGCTAAGACAGAGACGCAGCCAGAGCTGCAAAAACCGATTCGGCTGCTATGATAATAGGGATAGAGGGCGGGTCGAACGGTTTAAGCAAATGCCAGACGGCGCCACCGTCGATCGCGACCGCTCGAGATAAACGATCGGGCTTCGCGATGCGGCCGAAGCATTTTCGGCAGCCAAATTTATGCGATCGGCTCGCCTGTCGCCGGTTCTCGGCCAGGAATGCATGTGTGTGCGCGCCCCGGATTTATGGACATTATTAATTAATTGCGAATCGATGCAGCCTTTCCTTAGGTACCCGCTGTTTTTACAAGGTCGGACTGTCTACCTGCCCGCATTTTGACATCAATTACAGTCTATGCCACTGTCAATGTCAATGTCAATGTGAGGAGGCTTTTCCGGTCGACTCTAAGCATTCGAGAGCTCAAATAGTCGAAAATTGCTCGAAATCCTCGATCAATTAAACGGGTTTTTTGCGGTCACAATCCCTTATTGACGGTGTAGTTTTTGGCAAATTAATCCAGCCGTTTCCAGGATTTTGTGATGCAAATTCCACAATGTTGCCAAACCATTTAAACGAGTTTGCTGACAGTTGGTTGTCGTTAAACACTTCGGGGTATATCGTGTTGCTTCGTCTGTGCATCGTCGTTCTATCCTATTTCCATCCTTGTCTGACTTGTTCTGGAAGGTTTTTCCGATCTAGCATTCAAGAACTCAAATAGTCGAAAATGCCTCGAAATC